ATATATATATATATATATAAATTCTATATTTGAATATATAATTTATATTTAAAATTTGTATAAATAGAATTTTAAATATATAAATTTTATTTATGCGATAAATATATTATATGGAAGTACAAGATTAATTTTAACTATCAATAATTTAATTTTAAAATATTGAAAATTATTTCATAAATAAGTATGATAAAAAATTTGAATTAGGTAAATAGTTATAAAAAAAAACCCTAAAAATACTATCATCAAATAACAATCCTCAAGAATACTCTTGCATATGATAATAGTTTGTGATTAATATATAGAGGTTAAAGATTGATTTAATTCATAAATAAATATGATAAATAAAAAATTTGAATTATATAAGAAGTTAAAAACTTTCTGCAAATACCCTCTGTTAGAGATCCTTCATTAACTAGAGATAAGGTCATAATAGTGTATATAAATGAAAGTAATCCTCACTTTATAAGTTAGTTTTGAAATGTTGAGTTAGGCTCTAATTCACTTTCTTAAGATGATATTAGAATTTATATTCTAGTGATTATTGATTATTATTGACTTTATCAAGTCATCTACTATCAAGTTGTTATCAGACTATTCACAGATATCTAGTCCTGTAAACTTCAAGCTCGAGATGTTCAATCCTTAATGTGTAGGACATGTATTGAACATCCTACATTGATTAGAGATAAAGAATTCTTACCTTACAAGTCAATTTTGTAAGGTTGAGTTATGCTCCAATTCACTTTCTTAAAAATCCTCATCCTATTTGTGCTGTGGGGGTGAGATGGGGGGGTCATAGGAACGTGCATGCTGTGGTTCAGCAGGTTGCATGTTAAGTTTAGATTTTGTGGACACAAGCATTGCACGTTTATAGTTGTTAACATCTTCTCTAGTGTATATATACGTTAAAATAGCTGAGTAATAGAGCCAACAGATTAGTAACTAGCTAGACCTAGTTATTATCAAGGTACGTTGTTAATTAGTATTGCGTTGCACTTGGTAACCTATGGAAGGAATCGTATGTGTACGGAAAGGTGCATGGAGTGGAGTGGAAGATGACCTTCTTAGGGCATGTGTGAGACAATATGGAGAAGGAAAATGGCACTTGGTGCCTACAAGAGCGGGTAATACTTGCTTTCATATGATACACTATGATAGTAATGGATCAATAATTATAAAAGCTATCATGCAAATGATTGTTGAACAGAAGCACAATATGTATGTGCTCAACTTTCCATCTTTCTTATACCTCATCAATATATAATTTTTTGCTGTTCAAAATAAAAACTTTCCATCTTTCTTTCTTCTTATTTTTGGTTCATCATTAATTTTCTTCATTGCCTTTGCACAAAAAGTGAAACTGTTGTTAGTTACATGTATACTTGAATTTTTGAAGGCTTGAACAGGTGCCGTAAGAGCTGCAGACTGAGGTGGTTGAATTATCTAAAACCAAATATCAAGAGGGGAGATTTCGCTGAAGACGAAGTTGATATGTTGCTAAGGTTGCATAAACTTTTGGGAAACAGGTAGTGCATTTGTGTATCATTTGTGACAAGAACATGTATCCTAGACTCCTAGTCATGAACTAACAAAATAAGAGTTAGTTATTATCTGTAATATAGATGCATGTGAATAAGAGTAAATTTATTATAATTTTGATTGTGAAACTTAATGATGCAAGTAAACTAAGAGTTTGTTTAAATAAGTTTCACTATAAAATTTGTTGAAATGAGACAATAAATTCTATAAGAATATTGTGTTAAACATTTCATTATATTATCTTATATTACTATTTATACTGTCAACTTAATAATTGAACGGTTTGTTTAAATAAGTTTATGCAAAAGTACTTATATGATAATAGAAAAAAAATGAAATAAGATTTTTTATAAACTAAAATTAATTTATGTATAAGTTGTTTTGTGAAAGATATCTCTCATAATAATTTTTTCAAAATTTTATTTTTAATTTATATATAAGATCTCTTCTAAGAATGTTTCTAGACAAGCTTAATTAGACATACTCTAAACTTAACATGTTTGGACTCTGATATCACATAGCCAATTAGAATTTATGGGCTTGATGTCCGGGAGTTTTTGGATAATTTATATTATTATGTTAATTATTGTCATTGTAAAATGAAAAGGATTTTTAAACTTTTAATGACATGTTAATATGGGCTGGATGCAAAATTACATTAGATAGCAGTTATTTTTAGAAGTGTCTTTGTTTTTCTTCCGTAAATTTGCCTTTGTGCTTTAACAAGTTTGGTCTCACATCTGTGATGTGATTTTTCATAACTGAAAAGCAACTGTTGCTTTCACATCTTTAAGTTAAAAACTGATGTGATTTTTCTCCTTCTAACAAATTTCTATCCACATACTTTGTCATCCAGTTTCAAACATGCATGCACCAAGTTTAGATTAAATTATTTATTTAACCTGTATAGTTATCCTTATTTTAAATTATGGTCCTTACATATAGTTCCTGTTAACATACATAAAATGTTAGGAGAGTTTTAATAAAACGCTTTTAATAGTAATTTTTAATAAATTTTAACTAAGAGAGATATTGTATGTGTTGAAGATTATATTAATAGCACTTCTCAAAAATGTTAAGTTTTGATAAAACATACAACATTTTATAAAAAATAAAACTTAAAATGACGATAAATTTACATACCAATTAAAGTATAACATATGCTTGTATATACAAACCTGTTAACCAGCACAAACAGAAGTATTTGAAATGATCTTGCTGTGATTATGAACTCACTTAAATAACTTTTGTATAAACACTTACAAAACTCATATATAACAACTTCTCTAATTAAGTAAGTTAATTGAAACAAGCAAAACAAAACCTTTGTGTCTATATGTAGATGGTCCCTGATTGCCGGAAGACTTCCCGGAAGAACACCAAATGATGTAAAAAACTACTGGAACACCTACATTCGCAGGAGAGCATGCTCTCATAAGGTGGTAAGCAATGAAAAGGAAGAGGAAATAGTGAAACCTCACGAGGTGATAAGGCCTCGGGCTCGAACTATCTCAAGAGCTTCACCCTGGTTGAGAGGGACAAGTGTTGTTAGAGAAGGTGCTGAAAGTGGGGTCAAACAGAGTTCAACTCAAGCATGTGGTGAGGCTTCATTATCAGAGTACAATAATTGGTGGAAAACTATGATGGATGATGATGATAAGGGGGGCAACATAGAGAACAGCCAAGATGGGTTTGGGAGGCTCATGGAAGACATTAATAATTGTCAAGAGAATCTTACTTCGTTGACCTCACAAGGTGGAGATTTTCCTATAGAAGGTCAAAATTGGAGTGATTTTCTTCTCGACACAAATTTGTGGGATTTCTGATTTTGTTGTTAAATTACTTTTATGCCCCTTATTATATTTACATTATTCAACTTAGTCTCTATATTATTAAATAAAAAATTCAATTTAGTATCTAAATTTTATCAAATGATGCAATATGGTTATTTGTCAAATCACTACAAGAAATGTTACATATAATGACATACAAAAAGTATTACTATAGATATAATATATGTAGACATATATCTATTTGACATATAGTTACATACAATTTTAATGTTGATTTTGAATGAAATGTAAAAACATATTTTGTTTGTCATTATAGTCTATACCCACACTTTTTAATAATATATCAACATATATTGTAATTATTATATTGGTAAAAGTAATTTTTAGTGACATGTATAGTGTCACTATATGACAATTTCATTGTAGTGAATTGAGACTATCAACCTTAAATTTTTGTACATGTATAATATTTTTTATTATTTCACATGTATAAAAAGTTATACTATTAGTCTCAATTGGATAGAAGAATCACACGTCATTTTTCAAAATTAAGAAATTAAATTAAATTTTTCAATAATAGAGAGATCAAATTGACTAATGTAAATAAAATAAAGGATAGAAGGAGAATTTAACTATTTATTTTCTTTTGGAAGTCAAATTTGAACGTAAGAAAGTACTCAAACCTCTTAGCACCGGTTGGTAACCTAATATGTAATAAGGTGTTAACCAAGAAAATGAAAAAGAACTCTAAGAGTGAAATAAAAAGAGAGCAAGATCATAACTATAGCAGTGTGGTAGATGCCTATATCCCAGGCCGATACATATGTATAGTTTCATTAGTTAATAATGAACAATATATATTGTTGTACGTAAATCGACGTGTTGCTTTATCGTTCAGATATCCTCTGCATGTGTTGCTACATTGACGCGTTTCATTAATTCTGGCTTACTGTAATTAGCCATGTGTGGGCAAATATGGCTGAGGACCACGCATATGCAAGAGGCAGACAATAGAGTTATACGTTGAAAGATGCTCTCTCCGTGCACTATAGTGAGAAAAAAGTCTCTTTATAAGTATATAATATATATATATAT